TACTTGCTAGATATATACAGGAAATATCACTTTTAAGAATTATCTCAAATGCTCACGAACAACATGTTTTTTTTTTTCCCCGTAACATCATGAACAACATGTTGATTGAAAAAACTTCTGCCATCTAATTAAGCGGCCAAAAGGGTGATGAGATATGGCAACAAATTAAAACACACACAGACACTGAACATAATAAAAGAAGCTATGGCCTGATGGCACAATCGAATCTAGAAACGATATACTCTTCCAATCCTAATTATAAGACCCAATTAACTTATTTGAGGAGATTAAGGAAGTAAGTTAAATTGGTTATTTATAATAAATAAGTGTTGTCATTCCTAAAATATCCTTGCTAATTAAGTATATTGGCTAAAACTATCATTATTAGAAGGATTATCTTGGAAAAAAATGCATAAATATAAGAGACAAAATAGATTGGGGTCTTATAATTAGGACCAAATAAAAAGTCAAATGGGGTCTTATAATAAGAACTGGAGGAGTATATGCATATGATTTATCATAATCTCGTTTGTACTATTAACTAAGCGATGTGACAGAATTTAGGTCTCATGCATGAACTTTGATGTTTTTAACTTCTCTCAATCCAACATACGTGTGACGCGCTTTTTTCCCTTCCATTTTTCCGACCGAGGTGGACATGTCGTAAAATGTCATCATATTGTTTTTTTTTTTCCCCAAAAAAACATTGTTTGTACGTAGATGCGTTGATCGAACTCAAAACTAAAGCTTAGTTGCAGCAATAATCTCATCACAACAAGTTGCGAAAATTCATTTTGATAAATTAAAAGGGGAAATTTTTTTTGGGGGATGAAAGGGTTAATAAATTCTAAACAAACAAACAAACAAGAAAGCTTGCATTTCAAGGGATGATGATGACAAAATGATAGCGAACCATTTGTTTGCGTTAATTCGTAGTTGCCCCAAAATGATTATCAGTCTCTCTTTTGTTTTCTCTTCAAATCTGTGCTTCCCCTCTTTCACGCACAACCCCCTCATTTTATGACTACATTTACACTGTATTTGGCACGAGATTTTTAGAAGGGAGTGCCTCCTCTCATTTGGCTAGAATATCTTTTAATAGAGAAAAGGGAGCTCTTCCCTTCTTTTGTTTGGCTGGAATGATTTTTAAGGAAGGGAGGGGCTCCTATTTCTTCTTTTTTGCTCTTGGCTTCTCCTCTAAAAGTGGAGTTTTTCAGAAGAGAAATGAGAAAGAAAATATTTAATTCTATAACTAGTCTTAGTAAATAATATAATTTTTCTTTTATCCTCTCTTTGACCCTTTCATTCTACATTTTTCTCTCAATCTTACAATTTTAATAACTCTAATCAACTCAACTTCATTCTTCTCTTATATTCAACAATTCAACAAGGAAAATCAAACTATTTAAAATTTTGCTAAAAAAAATGCAATGATAAAAATCATTGGGACAAAAAAAGAAACAATGAAAAATTACAATATTTTTGAAAAAGTCAACATAGAGTAATATTAACTTAAGCTAGGTAATAAGCATCTTTTAATCTTTTAATTAGTTAAAAATTAAAAAAAATAAGGAAATAAAAGATAAAAAATGGTAAAAATGTAATTTTTCTTTTGAACCCAATAGAATCAACGAATAACATTATGAAAAGAAATTTGATTTCAATTTTTTTTCTTAATGAGTTGTGCTTGTGGCAAAAGTACAACCTAATATTTTCTTTCAAGTTGATAAATTGCCTCATACATATTGATAAAATAAAAAAAATTTATTTAATTTTTATAAGAGGAAAATAGTTAATTTTTGAATAGTTCCTGTCCCTTCCCTTCTTATGTCAAATAAGGTATTATTAAAATGTGTCCCATTCCTTCCCCTTCGATCAATCTAAATAAAGGATTATTAAAATTCCTCTCTGCTCCTCTCTTCCCTTCCCCTCCCCTCCCCTCTATATCTCTCCTCCCTTCCCTTGTCCTCTTCTTCCCTTCATTGAAATCCCTTTCCTCTCCTTCCCTCTGTCGAGCCAAACACAGCATTAATTCCCTCTCGCATGTGTCATTAATAAAATTAAACATTATCGTCTCAATTATTAACGTTATTTTTAACTTTTTTTGGTCCCCTGCATGTAAACACATGGACCACGTTCTTTTTATATCTTTCTCATTTATTCACCTACGTCTGCCTATATATAATACGTGGTGATTAATAACATGAGATATATACTATACAGAGACAGTGTAAAGGGGGGTGGGAGTGAGAGTATTAGGTGTTATATCTGTGATGATAATCGGAGGGGAAGGGGGTTAACTTGAAAAAAGGGTTATTATTAATTATGATAAAGTTAAAGAGAAGGGTTGAGTTGCTTCATAATTAACAGAGAAGAAGAGAGTTTAGAGATTCCTTAGGCCCCTCAGCTCCATTCCACTAAAATAACAAGTCAAAAGTTATGACTCATTAGATCGCACTTTCCCTCACCATACACATATCATTCTAACACCTTCCCTCTCTTGGCCTTCATCAAAGTTCTTGTCTCCATTTCATAATCATCTTGCCTTAATTCATATCCTCTTTCTTCACCCCTCTTCCACCACATGCTTCCCTCTTCCTTCCTTTCTTTACTTTTTTAATATAATGTAAATGCATACATAGCACACAGATATGTCAACACCAAGTTTAAGTCTAAAACTTCATCCAAACACGATGAACGGCACTGCCAACTTTCTTCTTTTTTGATATGCTTTATTACAAAACTTCTAATTTCCATGCTCCACATACTTATCTAGTTTTAAATAATGTATGAGCTACTTAGTTGAGTTGGTTTTGATTCTAAATATAAGAATTTATCTCATTTATTTGTAATTTTCCCCCCAATAAATTTTAAAAATTATGTCACATTTATTATTGTTCAATAATTTATTTAACTTTCTTAATCAACCCATATTAGTTAAAGATATTAAAGATGGGAGGAGTATCTTATATAAAATAAACATGTACTTTTCACCTTTTTTTAAAATCAGTCTCTTAAAAGATATGTGTAATCTATATCCAGATTCTACATGGTAAACTTTACATGCTTTACAATAGTGACTTAAAAAATCTTCACAATATATATAGGACTCAGTTTTTTGTTGGTCCCCAATAATTTATTAATATGTGCAGTGAAGTCAAAGGTCATCACCCCATGTACCCTGTGCGGGATCATTATCATGATCACAACAACTCATCATCATCATCATCATCATCATCCACATAACTAAATAACTTCATTTTTAGAATATTTAAAACCTAATGCAATAAATATGAATTCCTTCCATTGAAATTTCTTTTTGGAAAAAAAAATCAATTCTTTGTTTAAAAAAAAAAAAGGAATATTCTGTGACTTCAATAAATAACTGAATAATTTGCTGTTAATTGATAATCTATTGTTTTGGAGGGAGGGGATTGAATTAAATTTTTTTTTTGTATACAAATTTTAGGAAAGGGGTTGGGCTCACCCATGATCTAAGAGTAGGACACCTAACGCTTGATCCATTAGGGCCTGTCCCTACAGGCACGGGGTATGATAAGCAAGTCTTTTTTTTTCCTGGCCCAATAGATAGGAATCTCAGCTTCACTACGCCATGGTGATGCCTCTCCCAATGCCGCGATTAGAGCCACAACAAAGTGGCACTTTCAAGATCGAATCCCTTCTTTTTGGTAAGAGAGTCTGACCCCTTCACTAACTAAACCCACGGATGAGGGGTTAAAATGTTTCATTTTCAACTGGGGGTATAAGGGCTCTTTTCACCTGAGTGGGCTTTACTCTAATATTTGGGCTACGAAACAACTCGATGTGTCAGATTGGAAAAGTTGGGATGAGTATTAGGCCCAGGCCTTTCGCCGAAGGGATGTGACAAACTGAATCTTGTTGGGCTTAGTGTACATTCAGTTATACGTATGCAGAAGAAGCCCAACTGGTTTTAACTACTAACCGACTTGACTACATCCGCGTGGACCCGGGACTTTCCTTTCTACCCCAAGTCAACATAATTAAAAAGCATAATATTAGTACCGAAAAAAAAAAGCATAATATTTTACATTTGTAATTAAAAAAACTTTTCTTTGTGAAAGGACTGCGTACGATGTGTGTCCACTTCAAACATCTCAATATAACTTCAAAAATTTTTTACATTTGGTCCTACAAATTAATCTAATGAATTGTTGTCTCCTCGGGATATTAGTATTGAATAGAAAAAGAATCATACATCTAATTTTTAGAACATGTTTAAACTTTTAATCCATTTTTAATATATATAGTTAATGTTATTATTGGTATTCACAGTTTAAATCTTTATAGTTTCAAATCATGATTTTCAATCCTTATAGTTGTTATGATTTTTATAATTATTAGCATTGTTAAGTACAAGAATTAGATCAGTTTTGGTCTCTGTACTTCTAATGAGTTTTAATCGTGATCTATCTACTTGATAGCATTAACTCAAACTAAATTCTTATAAAATTATCGGATCAAAAATAATGATTTGAAATTATAACAACAAAAAACAGAATTCTTTTTTTTTTAATGAAAGAGGACAACAGGTAAAAAATTACAGAAGTACAACACAAAAACAATCAAGCCCTACTCTGCTCTCCATCTGTCTCAGAAACGTCAGGAGGAGGGCAATCAAAAAGGTAAAAATTACCGTCTATCCTACGAGCGTAATTCGCTAAAGAGTCTGCTAAAGGGATCAAGTCCCTTTCTACATGACAAAAAATAGTATGCCAGTCTCTATTAACAGTAAGCCTGACATGATCAACTAAATCTTTAAAAGGGTAGCTGCCTTCACATCCTCGCGTCGCTAAGTTGATAGCCTCCATGCTGTCTAAATATATAATAATCTTTCGATGACCTCTAGACCAAACTGAATATAAGAATCTGAATATATACAGGTAAAAACAGAATTCTTTTTTTTTTTAATGAAAAGAGGACAACAGGTAAAAAATTATAGAAGTACAACACAAAAACAATCAAGCCCTACTCTGCTCTCCATCCGTCTCAGAAACGTCAGGAGGAGGGCAATCAAAAAGGTAAAAATTGCCGTCTATCCTATGAGCGTAATTCGCTAAAGAGTCTGCTAAAGGGATCAAGTCCCTTTCTACATGACAAAAAATAGTATGCCAGTCTCTATTAACAGTAAGCCTAACATAATCAACTAAATCTTTAAAAGGGTAGCTGTCTTCACATCCCCGCGTCGCTAAGTTGATAGCCTCCATGCTGTCTGAATATATAAGAATCTTTTGATGACCTCTAGACCAAACTAAGTTCAGGCTGTGTAGGATCCCCATCAGCTCCGCAATAGTTGGGGATACATTTGTGAGCTTAGCACAAAAACCACATATCCAGTTATTCAAGTAATCTCTGATGACTCCTCCACAGCCACTGTGCCCATTCCTGAGAACAGAACCATCTACTTCCAACTTAATGAACGTATCATCGGTATCCTCCATACCTTGCCGCGGAGTAGGCTCCACCCTGTAGACTGCACACTTACTTGCTAAGTTGTAATCCAAACAAGCTCTGAAGAAACTGTCATTTGCATCTCACCTGTTGCTAATTTCCTGGTCATTGAACATTCAACTGCATTGGGTTGTCCAAATATCCTAACATATGTATCCAAATAGAGTCTTCCAAGGCTTTCTCTTAGTAAACTGACATCCTGCCTCTTGAGTGAGGTTCCATCTGATCCAATCCGCACCTGAGAGGGAGGAGAAGGTTTGCCACTTGGTTGGTTCGACTACCGCTCTCCATTGATCCGTCGCATTCGAGCAATCACGTAACAAGTGCATTTGATCTTCTACTTGTTGACATCCAAGCTGACATAAGTCTGTTTCTGCAATACCTCTCTCTTTCCTTAACAAACACGTATTCATTCGCCCGTGGTAGAAAAGCCAGATGAAGGTTTTAATCTTTTCCATCATTTGCCACCTCCATATGCGCTTCCATATGATATCCTCCTATCTCACTGTACCTGCAAACAGAAAATCATAGGCAGATTTCGCAGAAAAACGACCATCTGAAGATGGTTTCCAGTAAAGTTTATCCTCTCCTCTCTCCTCACGGGGTGGGTGTGTATTAAGGATTCTATCGATCACTTGTCAGGGAAGCCAAATCTTCATTTTACTCCTGTTCCATTCTCCATCTGACCCTGTACAATCTGCGACCTTCTCATTTCTGTCGATCAAATCTTCGTATTCTGGTACAACCTCCACAAGGGGTATGTTAAGTTCTGACCAGTTATCATACCAGAAAGAGGTGGAAGTCCCATCTCCTATCTTCTTTGCCACACCTTTCTTGAACTTATCCCAAACATCGCAAATCCCCTCCAAGTAAGAGACGAATGCTTCTTCTTACTAACATCCGGCATGTCTTGATTCCCGCAACGATACTTCCCTCGTAGTATTTTGACCCCTAATGCCTCCTTGCTAGAAATAAGACCCCAAAAAATCTTCATTATAAAGGCCTCATTTTGTTGTCTCAACCTTCGAATTCCCAAGCCCCCTTGCCTCTTATGTTTAGTCACCTGTTCCCAAGATAAGAGATGAAGTTTTCTTTGGTCATCTTGTTGTCCCCAAAGAAAGGCTCTATTCTTCCTTTCCAGCTCCTCTACCAGCCGCTTCGGTAGAAGTATTGTTTGCATATAATAAGTAGGGAGTGTTGAAAGTACTGCCTTAATCAACATGGACCTTCCTGCCATGTTTAGACAATTCCTCTTCCAACCCGATAACCTTCTATGTGTTTTCTCCACCAGAGGGGCAAAAGTGACATAGGACGCCCTCCTGTGAATCAGAGGAATCCCTTAATACTTCTCCAGATCGTTTGTCAATCCCACACCCATCCTCCTGCTAAGGTCCAGAGCCTTTGTAATATGGACATTTCTTGAGAAGCAGATCTTAGTTTTGTTCTTCTTCATGTTCTAGCCTGAAGCTAGGCAAAACTTGTCCAAACAACTAAGCATAGCGTCAACTTGTGAGCTAGATCCCTCCCCAAAAAGAATGAGATCATCGGCAAAAAATAAATGAGACACCTGTGGCCCTTCACCATTCAGTCTTAGTGGTTTCCACCTTCCATCCTCTATAGCATCTCTAATTACATGGTTCAGCCTCTCCATGCATAACGTGAAGATATAAGGGGACATAGGATCCCCTTGCCTTATACCTCTGGTTGAGGAGAAAGAATCTGTCGGTTCTCTGTTCCACATGACTTGAAATGATGAGCTAGAAATGCAGGCCACAATCAGATTACAAAGTTTTTCTTCTATGCCCACTGCCTTTATTGTTTCTGTAATGAAGCTCCATTCAAGCCTGTCGTATGCTTTTTCCAAGTCCACTTTAACTGCTAGCCACCCTTTCTGACCCGTCTTCAGTTTCATAGAGTGAATTACCTCTTGGGCTATAGTGATGTTATCACTACTTTGCCTTCCTTCAATAAAATTGCATTGGTGTTGTCCCACCACCTTGTTCATAATCACTTTTAACCTTTTACTGATTATCTTTGTCACAATCTTGTAGCTCACATTGCATAAGGAGATAGGCCTGAAGTCTTTCATCGTTGCTAGTTGGTCTTTCTTGGGAATGAGAACAATATAGGTGTCATTCAGTTTCTTTATTTGGGAAGGATCATTGAAAATCTCCTTGATCAGAGCACACATTGACTCACAAATAACATGCCAGAACTCATGATAAAAGAAAGCCTGAATCCCATCCGGGGCCGGGGGCCTTGAAAGCCCCAAGATCAAACACGGCTCCCTTGATTTCCTCATCAGTGACTTCAGCAGCCAAACTCAACGTATCCATCAAGAGATAGTAGGAAAAACATTACCGATCATTAGCATTGGGGAATTCACCGTACCACTACGGAACAACTCCCTATAGTAATTCATGGCCATGTTCTTGAGCTCATGTTGCTCAAAGCATCATCCATCATTGTCCTTCTTAAGCCCTTCAATTTTGTTCTTTCTTTTCCTGATAATAGTAGAGTTATGGAAGTATTTACCCTTATGTGTATCTATCTTAAAATTAATGACTCTATTTTTTATTATTAATTTTAGTTTATTTATGGTCAATCACGATTTTACTATTTTGACTCCAATAGATTTAGCTAATGAAGTATTATATGAATAAAAAAAACAGGCTTGGCGTGCAAGAATCAAGCTAATACACCTTGATTGAAGGTTAGAATTTACAAAGAAGAGGCAAGAAAGGCAAAGGAAAAGATTAATTTAGATATTATGGATTTATTGAGATATTAATATTATTAATTAAGTAATATTATAAAAGGAAAGCAATTATTTTAAAAGATTGAGAATATTTCATAAAGCTATTCAGATACTATCCATATCTAATCACATTTTAATATTTAGATAATTTTAAAATAAATATATTTAAATTATTTTTTGTAAAATAAATAAAGGATTATGGGGGTTTTTTTTTTAGAAAAATAATCTAGGTGAAGGCGTAAACCTAAATTTATCTTTTACTCATCCTCTCAGCAGCCGTCGCTTATTTTTCTTGTCCTTCTAACTCATCAATTTTTGCCAGACACGTCTTTCAATTCTTTCTTGTTCTTGAATCAGGTGTGTGAAGCTTTCCATATGATAACCCAAAAATCACATGGGTGACAGTGCAGCCGGTGGCACTTCGTTACCGTCAGGTCCCGATGGCAGACATCGGCGGGTCTTCTACTTCTACGAACCCACCATTGGTGACTATGAATACCAACGTGACCATCCCATGAAACCCATCCGAATCCGCATGGCTCACAATCTCATCGTCCAATATAACCTCCACCGCCACTTCCAAACCGTCCGTCCCTTCCCGGCCACTGTACAAGACATCCGTCGTTTCCACTCTGAAGACTACGCTGACTTCCTCTCCACCGTCTCGCCCCAGAGCACCCAAGGCAACGCTTGCTTCCGTGAGCTCAGACGCTTCAACCTTGACCAGGATTGCCCCGTCTTTAATGGCTTATTCGATTTCTGTCGGGCCTCAGCCGGTGGCTCCATAGGTGCTGCCGCAATATTGAATCGTGGCGATGCCGATATCGCCATCAATTGGGCCGGCGGCTTGCACCACGCTAAGAAGCGTGAGGCCGCAGGCTTTTGCTATGTCAATGACATCGTCCTCGGCATTCTCGAGCTTCTCAAAGTTCACAGGGTACTTTCAATTTCTTTGCCATTTTCTTGAACTTTTTCCTAAACCTCGTATATATTACCCGTTCTCCATTGTCCTTGGGCAGCGTGTGCTTTATGTTGACATTGATGTCCACCATGGAGATGGTGTGGAGGAGGCTTTTTACACCACGGATAGAGTGATGACCGTGTCTTTTCACAAGTACGGGGACGAATTTTTCCCCGGCACTGGACACATATTCGACGTTGGGTCGGGTCCTGGGAAAAATTACGCCCTCAATGTGCCGTTACAGAATGGAATGGACGATGATAGCTTCAATTCTCTATTTCGGGGCATAATTCAGAGAGTGATGGATGTCTATCAGCCCGATGCTGTTGTTCTACAATGCGGAGCCGATTCGTTGTCCGGTGACAAGTTGGGTCCTTTCAACTTGTCTGTGAAAGGCCATGCAGATTCGCTTCGTTTCCTCAGATCATTCAATGTCCCTCTTATGGTCCTAGGCGGGGGAGGATATACGGTTCAGAATGTTGCTCGTTGCTGGTGTTACGAGGTTTATGTCTCTAATAATTTGCCTCTCTTTCAAGATCTCATGGATAATTTTTTATGATCGCATGTTCTTGTACTGTAGACAGCAGTAGCAGTTGGAGTGGAACCTGATAACAACTTGCCTTACAATGATTATTATGATTATTTTGGTCCAGATTATACCCTTCATGTTAATCCTCGATACATGCAGAACCGAAACACACCCGAGGATTTGGAACTGACGAGGTAAAGTAACATAATTATATGTGTTATTGCCGAAACACACCCGATCGAGGATTTGAAATTTCTTCTTTATTGCAGGATAATACTACTGGAACAACTGTCCAGACTTCCTCATGCTCCCAGTGTGCCTTTTCAGACAACACCATCCACCAGTGAAGTTCCAGAAGAGGTTGTTCCTTAATTAGTTATTAGTAGTTGCTGATCTTGGCGCCCCACGTTCCACTTTCTTGTGGTTTAATAACTGTATGTATTTAGGAAGAAGAGGACTTGGATAGAAGACCACGCCGGCGCTGTTTGAGGATTGCAGATTCTGATTCAGATGCATGATGATGAAGAGGTTAATGCTAGGAGCCAAAATTTGCCTTCCCATATATAAGAGGTACAGAGATTATACTACATCTCTGGTCTTATTGCTTGAGCATATTCTGATTTCATACCATATATACATTATCAGGACGTAGCTAGCAATGATTAAGCTTTTTCTTAACCATCTGCTTAATGATTAATTTGTCACAAGCCAAGGCGCTCTTTTAATATTTTGAGCCTTAATCTAATGTTAAGGCCTGAGGGTTGGGTTAATATTATGCAAGGAGACACGATGAAAACCCCTCCAAAAATTATTTTTGCACTTTACCAGACTAAATTCCCCCCACATTTATCTTGTACGTCGTAAAATTATTTGAAATGTTTTAAATCAAACACCACTTAATTGGGAGGTGGATGAATTGCTTACATGCTATGCATGTTCTTACAGTTAATTGGGCAATTTGAGAGGAAAGTGAATGATATGTTTACTTGACGGTGACCATTTTGCAAATGAATTGAAGTCTTTGCTGTGTTTCATGAGAAGCTAAGGAAGATACTGTGTGTAAAGCAGGGATCTTGTAGATAAGAGGGATTGGAAGACGAGAGAAGCTGGAACTGCATTAATTCATTCTTATAATTGAGACACCATGATGATGTGTGTATTTTGTTTATACAGGAGTTGTTATTCGGATTGTTGTAAAAACTTATCAATATAGCCAGCAGATAAGGCTGTAACAGAGTTGTTATTTTGGTATATAAACAAGACAAACAGTTTTTTACTCATCCAATTCAATGAAAGCTCATTTATGATTCATCCCACTTGGTCGCTTGTGCCATCTGAAGTCAACCCTTTACTGTTCATATTTTCTCGTACAATTTCCTTGTTAGGCAAATTAAATGAGACATGCATTGAACTCTGATCTGGTAGATGAAGCTTCTCTGACGAATTTTTATAATGTGAAAGCACCGGCTCACAACTTGATTCACTAGTTGATCTGAATTATTCCTTAAAAAATCAGAACAAAAGAAAAAGTCAAAGCATGCATGGGAAATACTACCTTTGGTTCTTAATATAAGATTTCGTTTGATTTTTATTTTGGTCCTAAATATAAGACCCTAATATATTTTGTCTCTAATATCTGTGTATTTTTTTCCCAAGATAGTTCTTTTAATAATGGTTATTATAGTTAACACACTTGATTGGCAAGGATATTTTAAAAAAGACAACATCTATTTATTACAAATAACTAACTTAACTTATTTTCTTAATCTCTTCAAATTAGTCAATTAGCTCTTATAATTAGGACAGGAGATAGTACATAACTGGAGAGCATTATAGTAAATCCGTTAGTAGGACCTGCGACGCATGGGGCAAATTGAGGAGAATATAAAATCTATAACAAGTAAACGTAGCCAGCTCAGAATCAATAAATTAAATTGCCGATACTTGACCCTTAATGCTTAAGCAGAGCTGAGTAAACGAAGGAAATACATGGGTTATTATATTCAAAGTCTTACTTTCCTTGAACAATATTCGTGATCGAACAACAAATTGGTCAATCAAGTTGAGCTGAATTTCTACAACGCCAACTACATGTTACATTAAGTGAGATTAAATTAACAACCAATTTGAATGCTAAAAGGAACAAAAACCACAAGAAAAGTCAACTTTTTTTTGGTAGGTTTGCATACGAGGAAGTAATTAATACCATGAAACTATGAATAAACAAAGGACGTGGCTCCACTATAAAATCTTAAACCTTGCGCTCCTACTAGGATCAAGCTTGCATCTCCATAATGGGAGCATTAGTTCAGATCCAGGTGAAGCTGATTGCTACAATACTGATAGCTTTGCTCCTTCTGGGTAACTTTGTACCAACCTCGTCCTATCTTCCCTATGGTAATTATTTCTGTGATAGTTCAATAATTAACTCCTCCAGTATATATGTGCATATATGTTATGTATAAAGTTGGCAAAAAAAAAAAGTTACATATAAAGCTAATAATTTTGAAAAATGGAAGATGTACTGATTTTTACTGAATGAAATGAAGGTGATGAAGAGAAGAGTTCATCAATGGCGTTGAACTTTAGAAAGATGGTAGTGAGGTCGAGAAGAGTTCCACTGCCGCCTCCTGCCCCTACCAGAAACCGAGCCTCTTCACAGCGTGCGGCGGCTCCTCCGCCTTCCGCTCGTCTATGATCTCTCACATCTATCTCACTGTTTCAATGTGAATCTGATGAAGATTTAGGTAGAATCAACGTGGGCCCTGTATTACTTCCTCATTCTGTGCCCATTTGGGAGACCAATGTATAAATAAAGGGACAACTTCCTATCAAATGAGTCAAATTATTTATATACTATAAACAATGCGCAATTTTTTAAAATTATCTTAATCTCTTATCTGCATCTCTAGGAGAAAGATATTTAGTTAGTAGTGATTAATAAGATTGGTTTCAATGCCAGAAATTCTTTCGAAAATATTTAGTAAGTGGTATAAAGAAAATTAATCAGACTATTTTCTTTTTGAGTTAAATAATGTGTATAATGCTGACTGTGAAATTGGAATTTTTCTGTATGATTAAAAAGGTTAGGACAAACCAATAAGAGTTGGTCCATTAGTAAAGAGTCGGCTTATAACTCACACAGATTTTCTTGCAATAGATAGTTGTAGCCCCGGAAAAGAAACTCTGCTAAATTTTTTCGTACATAGAATCTTCATATTCATATATAATATGTGTGTATAACATATAAATTTTTTAGATAGATATGTTTGATTCATGCTCGAGCCAAATGATGAAAAATTATCATGTCAGGTTCTTTTGGAGGATGGATCTATGAGAATTCACCTATCCCAATAACCAAAAAAAGCCTGGCTTGAATGTGAGTTTCCGGGATCTAACTTACATGAACCTTTTTTTTTGTATTGAAAAAAAAAAAGTTAGGAGAAAACACGTAACGAGTTACTATACGCTGGTCAACAAACCCAAAAAAAAAAAAAAAGCATGTTGACCTTATTCATATCACGTCGCTCGCAACTCACAAGTCACAACATGCCCCATCCTCCCACTTCAATCTCCTTGCCCTCCCCTTTGACTTCGGATTAAAAGGTTCTTTTTTTGGCCAAACTTTGGAAGAAAAGGTTCAATCAGCACATTTAAGCTGCAATTCCTAATAAGCAACTCCAAGAATCAAACTTAAGTCATCTTATCAGCGATGATGTGTCCAGGATCAAGAAAGCGCATAGTTGAACTGAAGTTGCTTATTTAATGCAGAGTCATTTTGATTTACTTCAATCCGAACTCTGCAAAATTTGCAAATCCTTGTTGAGGGTCAAGAAATTGCATGCTTTGGTAATTAAGTCCAATCTCTCGGAAGATCCGTTTTACGCAACTCAAATTATCAGGCAGTATGCAGCTAATGGTGACGTTAATTATGCCCACCATGTATTCGACAAAACTCCCACTCGAAGCGTCTACCTCTGGAATTCCTTGATTCGAGCCTACGCTCAAGCCCAGAGGTTTCGCAGTGCATTTTCTCTTTTAATAACATGCTTACAACCAACACAAGACCTGACAATTTCACTTACGCTTGTATTGTACGTGCATGTTCCGAGAATTTCGATTCTGCTGGCCTGAGACTTGCTCATGGGAGGGCCATAGTCTCTGGGTTAGGATCGGACTCTGTTTGTGGCAGTGCTCTTGTGACAGCTTATTCTAAATTCGGCCTTGTCAATGAAGCCGGTGGAGTGTTTAATGGGATTTCTGAACCCGATTTGGTTTTGTGGAATTCTTTGATTTCTGGTTATGGGTATTCTGGTTTATGTGATAAAGGGATGCAAACATTCAACGCAATGCGGCGTGCTGGGAAGAAGCCAGACGGATATACAATAGTTGGGTTGCTTTTAAATGTGGCAGATTCTAGCTTGCTCAGAATTGGTCATGGAATACATGGTCTAAGTCTGAAAAATGGGTTTGATTTTAATTCTCATGTAGTTAGTTTGCTGGTGAACATGTACTCGAGATGTAAGTGCATGACTTCAGCTTACAAAGTCTTTGCAAGTATATTCCAACCTGATTTAGTTACATGGTCTGCTCTGATAGCTGGATATTCTCTGACTGGAGATTATGTGAAGGCTCTGCTTTTTTTCAGGGAATTGAACATGAAAGGCAAGAAGGCAGATACCGTTTTAATTGCTAGTGTATTGGCTTCTATTGCTCAGTCAGCAAATGTAGGGCCTGGACGTGAGATACATGGTTATGTTCTTCGGAATGGATTGGGATCAGATGTCATGGTCTCTTCTGCTCTTGTAGACATGTACTCAAAGTGTGGTTTCTTGCACTCAGGAACTAGAGTTTTCGAATTGATGCCAAAGCAGAATATAGTTTCTTATAATTCTATAATTTCAGGTCTTGGCTTGCATGGATGTGCCTTTGAGGCTTTCAGGATTTTTAATAAGATGCTCAATAAAGGTGTAGTACCTGATGAGTCCACTTTCTCCTCTCTCCTTTGTGCTTGTTGCCATGCCGGCCTTGTCCAAGATGGCCGGGAGCTTTTCAGGAGGATGAAATATGAGTTTGACATTGAAGCCAAAACTGAGCATTATGTTTATGTGGTGAAACTTCTAGGGAGTGCAGGGGAATTAGAAGAGGCTTACAATCTCATTCAGTCCTTGCCAGAACCTGTAGAAGAAGGCATCTTGGGAGCTCTCCTATCATGTTGTAATTCATGTGAAAATTCTGATCTGGCAGAAACCATAGTTCATCGGCTTTTTGAGAGCAATCCTGATAATGATGTTTACAGGGTTATGCTTTCTAATATCTATGCTAGTGATGGTAGGTGGGATGATGTGAAGAAAGTGAGAGATAACATAACTGGTGGTCTGAGAAAATTGCCTGGACTAAGCAAGATTGAAGGCCAGTTTTGCAAACAGTGAAAACTGTGGTAGATTCCTTTGGTTCTCTCTGTGTAATCCCATAGAATGATCGGGACTATACTGTCAGCCATACAGGAGGCCCTTGATGAAGGCATTACACATGGGAGATAACCTGAATATATTTGCTTAACCGTATTGCCAGGACAGCCACTTCCTCTTCGTTTTGTTAAGGACTTTATTTCACCACTAGCATGGACAAAATTGAAATGGTTAATATGAACTGGGATAATTGGTGAGAATGGAACCTCTCATGCGTGGCAGCGCAATTACAAGAACCAAGATATATGAACATTCATTTATGGCCATTCCCTTTAGTGTCAAAAGTTTTGTGCACCTGGTAAGCTTATGGTCTTGTATTAATAGTTTGCTTCTAGCGTATATAGCTGTTACTTTACATAATTATTGCTGAGGAATTGGTAGACTTATTAATGATTCTTCGTTTTATGAGCTACAAATTACGGGTGGCCTTCTATGCTGATCTTAAAAATTAGGTCCAGAAGATAAACATTAAGATTTTATTGGCTCTGTGAAGTACATTAACGGATTTCATATTTCATCACCGCAACTTTCTAGAGCCTTTGTGGTGTATCAGAAATTTTGGTAGATATTGAGCCCAACTTGTTCAAGCCAAGCATTGATCGTGACATACTTGTTAGGCTGCTCATTTCTGTATTTCTATATCATACTCCTTGTTAATTCATCATTGACTATTTCTTGCGCTTTGCGGGTCAAGTTGCAATCTGATTTTCAGCGTCAGATCTTGGGTGATTCGCAAATTATTCCTGTTTATAGGGTATTGTTCTGTGTAGACACTGCTGATTAGCTTCGGTGTAATTTAGCTGTAATGTATTCACTAATGAAACCTCTTGAGATAAGCTTGTCAAGCTTCTATGTGCCTAGTATTATCTTATTTCATTTCTGACAGTAGGAAAGCTTGAAAGATGTCAATGACGCGGAATTTCTGAGCGGAGTGTTTGATCTAGAAAATTCCGTCCCCTGCTTGGTATCCTCCCATAATCAATTACAGGTTAACATATTTACCAAAAAAATGTGTAAACTTTGCTGGAGTGAACCGATTCATGAGATGGATTATTGAGGGAGAGCTAAAAGGGATTCTAACTATTTACATCACTTTGTAAGCCTTGTTCTGGAGACTTCCTGTATGGCAAAAGCATAGTGGAAAACATGTCCTATACTTGCCATTAACACGAACTGTTTCAGGAAGTGACTGCTGCTACTTTCCGAACCTCATGTTGTGAGACCACACTCTATTCTTACAGATTTCATTGTCTTGTTGATTCCATCTTTTGCTTGTGAAATTATTACTCTATCTGTTTTCCTTGTGTACCTCATGACAGAAAGGGTCTGTGCTAAATATTACAATGTCTTGAGAGCTCAAATTATAGGACGAATATATATTTGTGTGTGTGTGTGTGTCCTTGATGCTGTCCTCTTAATCACACTTGTTTATTCTCGCCATTACGACAGCATTGTTGGCGGATGTTAACCTAGAGTCAATATACTGGAAGCCCGCAATGGCGCAAAAATTTCAGATCCCAGCCTTTTTATCTCTTGAGAATCCACACCCCACTTAGTTCAGCGAATACATTCTTCTCCTTATATATCTATATATTGATTCTACGATGCATTTTATTTTCTTGCACTGCTAATTAATATGATGCTGCATCATCTGCTGGCATTTACCACATATGTTGAGTTGATTGAATTGAGTTTCTGATGAATTGGGTTGAGATTTGGCACTCCACTGAGTGGTTCTGCAACAAAGTTGAGGATTCTGTTTTCTTTTGAGCCCCTGTTTCCACAAGGAATCTGATGTAAATGCCACAACTAGATCTAATTGATACCAAATCCTTTCAGTGGATTTAGAACTATATCTTGATGCTGCTATAATTCTGTAGGGTCAAAATTTACCCTTGATTATTTTTTCTGTTTCACGGACTAGCATTTTTGGCTGGCCCACCCTCAATGATTTTTTCTTATCCTGTTGCCCAAAATAGACACGCATCAAAGTACAATGATTCTCCTTATTGCTTATTTCGCAATTTGCTGTATTGCACATTATTGTTGGGAAATCTATGGGCCTTGTCATGGGCATGGATCTTCGAGCCACCCAATTCTGTGTTTCCCCCCAGGAATTATAATGGAAAAAAAAGAAATCAAATATAGTCCTTTAACTTATTTATAAGTATCACATCCAGTTTCAAAACCAAAAATTTGTCTGCTAATTGGTTATATTTTAACATTTAACACACTATATTTATAGTCATTCCGAAATGAGTGAATTGTCCTTTTAAAATTTTCATCTTACATTCTTGTTTTAAAATTAGGTGGATTACTGATACATTATACAAATTCGAAGAATAAGTATAACCATGCATGACTTGTTGATGGTGCCTCCCCATGTTATATATTTTGTATTTAATATTAGTATTGATTCATTAATAAGAAAACAAGTGAAGAGTATTTAAATGAACTATAAATTGTGTTGTGTATATGTATGGGTATGTCAAAAGTGAAGTTTCACATTGTCCAAGAGAGAGGGAGCTCCATGGTATAAATACTAGCATATATTATTAGGCTAGTGAATGAGTCTAAAGGAAAAGGAAGATCTCGCGCGCACGACAACAGCACAGCGAAGAAAATGGAGTTGAAAACTGGCGATTTCCCCTTGCGGGTGAATTAAAATAGCACTGGGCACTTTTTACATAACACTTTTGCAAAAATAAATTATGAAATTGTGTGAAGAAAGTTTATCAGAAAATCCTTATTTTAACCATTTATTTTTTAATTGGCCAGAGGTTACTGGACATTAGGGAGTTTCATTTGTTATTAAACTGGGATTATCCTGTCATTAATCTTTAAAACCATTTTCATAGATTAATGCTTGGTAACGCCACAAATTCAAGTCTTGAATGCATATAACGTCCATAACCGAAGGTGTAAATGCAGTTTATGGTGGAAACATATGAAACTAATAGTTTAATTGTGTTTATGGTGCCCAATGTTCAAATCCTCTGAGGTCTATATAAAGCAGTTTGGGACAGTGTGTTGAGCACACCACTCTTGAGCTTTCGAGCATCCTTTCTCCTTTGTGTTTCTTCGCTTCTTCCCTCTCTTTGTTGCTAAGTTATAGTTTTGTTTCTGCTGTGTTGTCACCCTGTTTCCTGTAGGAATAATTCGTTTAATCCTAGGGAGTACCGTATTCATATTTACCTATGGTGACAGAATAACTTTTAAGAACAATGTCTACCAGCACGACTCGAATCAGACTAATATTCATTTCCAATTGCTGCTGCAAACTGAAGGTGCATATATCTGTGCTTTTTTTTTTCCTCCCTAAGAAGCTATCCAAATGTTCTCATTTTCTGTGATCATTTCTTAGGGTGAAAACCTTTAAAAAAAATTACCACCTTTAGAATAGAAGAAAGTTAAACTAGCTAGAGAATCTAGAGGTGATGGAGAAACATGTTGATTGAAACAAATATATCTGAGAATTATTGAAATCTTTACTTTTAAAGTGGGGGTGAGTTGGTTGGGTGGTAGTGCTTATTTAGAGTAATGTTACACATCGAATTCTTTTTTAAACAGAAATCACAATCTTGTCTCTGTGGAAATTCCTAAGCCTAGCTAGGGTTGGCTACCTGTCTAGCTCCAATTATCTTACCAAAAGAAAATGTGAAGTTTTAAAGAGAGAATTATATCATTTAAAACTCCTAAAGAACATAATTCTTTTTTTAGGAATAAGATATTATTAATTTTTCTAGACTTATGATCAATTTTTTATATAAAAGAGAATAGCATCAAATTTTAAGAAAATTATAAACTCGAAGTAATTCTATCATAGTCTTTAAAATGCAACTAAACCTTCTTAAAATTTTGTAATAATCGCAGCAATGCTTGATAATAATTTCATCGTGAAAAATAACAATAATTTTTAAATTCTTTTAATGTTTTTTGTTTTTTGAGATGTGAATTCCTATAATCAGTTTTTCCGCTTGGATGTTTTATGGTAATTTGGAGTCATTTTTTTTGCTTCGATTAATTAACCAAACTACCACATATTTATTTTGGTACAATTATTCTGTATCTAATTAATATTACCAACTAATAATAAATAGATATGAATATTGCGAGATCCAAACAATTTACCTCTTTTAGTGTAACTTTTTTCCTAGTAGTATCTATTAAATTTGAAGTTTCATCCTTGTTATTTTACTTATTAATTTCACATCAGAGCTTCGGTGGCAAGATGTAACTGGTCGCGTACCCCCTGAGGTGGCTTTTTTTAATTAAAAAATTGAGGAATAATATTATAAAAACATATTTTCTTTTTATAAAGTAGACTGATTTGAGATTATTGGAATTGGAATAAGTGATTTGATATTTTCAAATTTTGAAGGCATTTATTTAGAATTTTTCCTCACATATTTTCATTTGTGTGTGTGTGTATTGAAGAAAAAGAAGGCACTGTGAATTTATGAATGGAGAAAATTGTGATTGGATGAAGGAAGCGGCTATATATAGAATAAAAGAGTGTGAGATATATAGATGAGTGGGAGACAGATAGATGTAACTATGAACACAAAGGTTTCTGCGTGCTGTTGTAGATACGTTGAACATATTTTGCATAGTAAAAGGGGTTGGTGTGTTTGTGAAAAACACCATCTTGTTGCTTCCAACTAATTCATCTGACTCATAATTTTCCCGCGGATATATATCTGTGGACATGTCTTGTCGCCAAATCTCATCATTTCATCCCCCAGCTTCTAAATTATTATATATTTTGTGACATTTAATTTGTTCACAGATTAATGTAAAGTTTGCGTTTTTTTTTTTTAATTTTTTTCAAGAACAACAACTCGAAATTGCTATTGCCTGGTGATTTCGCAAAATGCAAAATGATGAAAGTGAATAATTAATCCTTGAGGAAAAAAAATATAGCACTCACTTTTCAATGGAGGGTTAAGTGAGTTGAACAA